GTGCTCCTAAAGGAAACCACCCTCAGGCCTCTTAAAGCCATGTCTGAACTCAGCGTGTCTGTGAGTGGGATTTATTTGCTCGGTAACAAGATGAACCTGTCTGAGGTATTAGGTGTTGAGGCTGCTCCAGGCAGACGGTTCCTTCACTGATTAAAATGGGCTTTCAGAGGGGTCAAGGGAAGAAGGGGTTAAGGCTTGTTTTTGTGCGTGTGTGTGTGTGTGTATCGTCTCTCTGTGGTATGAACAGTAAATCAGCACCTGAGGTAACCAAAGGAGGAGTCTTGTTATGTGCTCTGTAGGGATTGGAAAGGAAAGAGGGGTGGCCCTGTCTGGCTGAGACCGGTAGCTTTCGGGACAGAAAATTAAATTGAAGGAGAGGGGGAGGAAAAGAAAAAAAAAAATCAGACAAGGATCTGCTAATGTAATCTGGCTGTCTCACTCCCTCCATCGATGGGGCCGAGAACGGCGAGGAATGTGACAAGGCTGTCCGACCACAGCAAGGTCGGGCACCACACACACAGCAAAATATGCCCATCTGAACATGTGATTCAGAGTATTGTTGAAACAAATTGCTTTCTCAAACCCAGTCAGCTAATCTAATATTTCTTTTATATTTACGGCGATTGACTGAAATGCATTTGGGACTGCTGATGGCTAAAATTACACCTAATAACTTTTACACTGATAAGAAAGGAATGTATATCCATTAATTCTGGTTGCTTTAGCTAAATTTGGCTCTTGATGATTTATAAAAGGACACCCTGCTGTGGTAACCTGATGGTTTGTTACACAGAATTGTCTGGGAAGCTGTCAATGGAAACTGTTTGGAAAAGGGCAGGCACTTTGAAAAAAAACCCATCTGTCTATCACCTTCTATCACAGGCAAATTTCAACCAATCAAATCAATGTCACGTCATTCTACACATTAATAGTCCCCAAGTTCCCCTTATGAGTAAAATGAAAATGAAGTTTAGTATGGCATGGTTTGACTGGAGTCGTTTTTTATTGGTTATGATGCTATTGTAAGTCCAGAGTTACTGTCAGTTAGACCAAACCCTCACAACTTTCACTGGATTATTGTTTTATAATGAACCATCATATCATATCTGACACCTTCAGAATTGTAATAAATGCATTTTGTAATTATAGTATCAGAAAAATAAACTACTTCCATTGAGTCCAACAGTAAAACAAGCTCAATAAGCTCCTCAGCCACCAACAGTTAACCCACTTCCCGGTATTAATCACCACTAATTAATCAATGGGTTTTATTACCCGCACCAGGAGCTCTGTGAGGATGGCAGAGGAGAGGAATGCTGCTCTGTGGCTTATCATACTTTGGTTGCTGTGATCCGTCTTTCAGCCAGACCAGCGTTCCCACTTGGAGCCGAGCAGCTCGCTGGAGGTTTTGGCAGCAGAAAGCGGAGAAGCCAAAGGGCTGACTACAGCAGTGCAGCGGAGGGACGACACGCCACAACTACTGTACCCTGTGGCGTGTCGCTCTGCTGTACTGTAGGCCATGCATCGCGTGCCACGTTGCACGTCGCACATAGGGGTAGCAATAGTACATGTAAGTGGCCACTTTTAATGCCCTGGAAGCAGGAACTGGCGGTCGGGATTTGTTGCAACTTCGTATTGAGCTGAGCATGTCAACATTTATGTCTACTCCACAAGTCTTTAGACCTGTAAATTAGATTTGAACAAATAGCAAACAAGAAGTGCCAGGTCCTCCACCAATGTCAGACCAGCTGTGATTACACAAAACCAATGACCATGGCTGTGATTAATTAATTATAATATGTGCATTACCATTAATTGATCACATGTACCAGTCATCTGCAGTGATATCTCATCATCAAAGATCAAGAAGGTGCTCAGTAATTTAGTTTATAACACTTATATTGAACGGACTCTACAAGGGTCTCTATTCCGTCATCCTTTAGTCTCACCATATTTTTCCATTTTCACTTTAACATATCAGACTGAGCTCCAACTGGGAGAACGTGTATATACACATTCTGACTTTCATAGCAGCCTTTGTGTGGGGAAACAGCATATGGCCCCTGTTGTCATTATTATTCACAGCCTGGTGTTAAAGCACATCTCTATCATAAAGTCTATTTTTTTCATTACCTCATCTCTATTTATATTCGAATTCATCGCTATCCTGACAGTCCAGGTTCGAAGTTAACTTGTTCATGTAGCTCTGGCATTTTGATTACAGATGCACTTATTTTACACTTTGATGCTACGGTGGCTAAATGTTCATGCGATCACATATAAAGCTTGTTTGGATGACTGGATCTTTACATTTACACAGGCGTATTATACACATGATCCGATTACACAGCAATCACTAGATGCACTGTGATCAGTTGCATGTTTATGTCTGCTGTAAAGACAGATTAAAACTGTTTTATCACTCCTGATTCACACAAAATATATGTTTCCTGTTTCCAGGGTTTAACTCATTCTTAAGCTGTCATCCATGAGATCCATTGTCTCCATTCCACTGGATATCTTTTACCATACAGCAGATTCATAGTTCTGTAATGCACAGCAAACATGACATAAGTGAGAGAAACCTCAGTGCATAAACAACCCTGATACCACAGAACTGTGAGAAAATGTGCTGCTGCATGGAGCCAGCAGAGGAGAGGTGTTCAGAGAGCGTGCATTTGGACAGAGGAACGGAGGACAGAGGTCAGAGTGCTGTGAACACAACAGTCAGAGGGCCCGTGTAAAAGCAGGGACCCGCTTTAAATACGCAGTATAGTATAAACGCACCCGTATGCATGCATGCTGCTCTCTCGATCTCTCACACACACACACACA